TCGTCTTGTACACGTACACGCGCTACTACAAAGAAAAACAGATAAAATGATAAGAGCTAAGTAAAAAAAAAAAAATCGCGTCATCGCCACCGTGTGTTATCACTAAGAAAAAAATGTTTCATAAAGTAACGCAAAAATCGAAATTGTTTCGTTTGCTGTGAAAAGGGGAGATATACTAGAGAAGGTTCGAGAACTTTCGGTGTGTGTATAGTGCTAACCGACCATGTGGGTTTGGTGCGAGCTAAATCGAACGCGTACGTATACGTAGGCAGTTATTATGATTTGCTAATGCAGTGAACACTGTTGTAGTTTTCTGATCTATGAACAAATTTTTAATGTATCTCGAGGTGGTTCTTTTCTTTTCACGGTACTTATTATACGTACATCACACCAACATCATATTATTGCGTCAGTTTTACGTTTACGTATTCTTTCTAATTAATTTACTAGGTATACAAACAACACATCGATAAACAGCAGGTGCGATTGGTGCGAATGACACGCTACTCGATGATCCGGAAGTTGATACTAAATTGTTCAATAACATTTTTGAACAATTTACTGCAATCACATGTAAATTAAACATGTAAAATACACATATTGCACTATGTTATATAGAAAAACCTCTTACTAGAAAAGCCCAACGGCTTAAGGAAATCTTTTTTTTTCCGATTTTCATTCGATCGTTCGATGATCGTTGTTAGCTCCTGTGAGAACAAACGCATACGAAACGTTCCAGCTTCTGCAGTATACGTTCCTTCATAAAGTATAAACGAACGTACCAACCAACCATTGTCCATTATACAAATAAGTTGTCGGATAAAAATAAATAGTGTTTCCATTATACGACGATTAAAAAAAGTTTGCAACTCCCTTTGTTAAGTATTCTCTCTTTGTCTCTCTTATTTTTTTTAAATTTATCTTGTATCAAGTGTCTCAATGACGAATAAGTGAATCGGCCACATAATATCATGTACATGTGTTTTGTATACCTTGAACAGCTCAACACCAGCCTTCCTCATAGGTGATCGCTGTTTGCAGCAGTGTAACACGTAGGTAATAATGTATTCGTATATTGTATTGCTGTACCTTGATTGAATGCTGCAAGAATATTGGTAAAGGTATTATTTTTAACTCCAAAGAAGCGTGTAGATTTACGAAAATAAAATACATGGCACTGGAAATTACAAGAGTTATTGAAATAAAGGTGTATAGGTACATAGACTGATGCATAATTATTTTATGGATTTCAACACTGAAGGAAAATTATTTTTTCTGGATAAAATGTATTTTTTCTTTTTTGTAAAAAACGTTTTTATTTATCATCATTCGTAGTACAATGTTGAGAAACAATTTTTTTTAGCAAATAAGTGCTGTTAATATTAAATATTAAAATTTACTGTAAAGTCCTCGAAATACAATATTTAAACATTTTTTTAAATACTTTGACTATTTCTCTCTTCTAAATTGTTTTTTTCATTCATATGCAAAATTTTTGTCAAGCACTACGTTGTGAGATATAATTTAAAAAAAATTGTTTTAATATAACTATCAAAGAATTTGAAAAAGTATTCGTGCCCAAGTCTTTATATACATTATTTTTACATTTATGTATAATAATTTTAGT